TTTTATGGCTGCTGATAAAAATACAAGAACGACAACGAGGTAAATTCTGAAGATGGTGATGATAATCCCGATCAACCTCCAGTTAAAAATAGAGGTCAAGATAAAAGGAATAAAGGAAATCAACCTCGAGAAGTCGACCTTAGCTTAAAAGCTTACGATATTGTTCAAATGAGAAGTCAATCGAGAAATTGGAAAATCAAGTTTGTGCAAAATGATGTTATCATTAAACGAAAATTTTATGATGCGGTGAAAACTCTGTTCGCTTTAAATGGCGATATTGATGTTAATCAAGAGATTATGGAAGCTACTGATGCTAATCAAATCATACACCTCGATATACCCTCATGGATCACTGAATTAAGAGAAAACTCTGTTTCTGAAGCTGATATACGGGAGATAATTCATAAGTGTGGTGATAAACCAAAAACAATGCGATTGACTCCAGCTAATACAATTAAAAAGATGTCAATTGGTTCTCCTGCTAAACGAATTTTGGAATTAATGTTTCAGAAGTGGAATCGATCTGAGCTAACAAGCTCTGCTGCAGTTAAGACAACTATTGATCCTGGTGTTAACATAAGTGATTTAATTGGTTCTGAACGAACTCGAGATGAAGTTTTTGAAGATGAACAAGAAACTTTAGCTTTTCAGCCTAGTACTTCAAGACAAGCTGATAGAGCTGATGAGGTTAGAAGCAGATATGCTGAACGTGATAGATCATTAGACCGAAATAGTGATAGTGATGAAGAGGTCAATAGACCGAGAAGTCAACGACGACAACCAACCGTCAATGCTTACAATAGATGCAAGCCTAAACTCCCGAAGTTACCTGAATATGTTCCTGGTACTGTCGATTCATGGATGTGGTTGCAAACTATTAAGCGGATATTGAGCTTGGAAAGATGTCACGACGACGACAAGCTGTATGTGCTTCAAAAAGCTATGGCTTACGAATTCCTGCCCTATGCAAAAGAGTTGGATAAAGAAAAGCATACATGCAAAACTTACATTACTGCACTAGAAAAGAAGCTGAGGAATCCTGCTGTTATTTCTCAAGC